CCTGATGTTACTGGCTCATCACCCTGGGAAAGATGCGCAGGGACAGCCATACATGTCACTTAAATGGAGACAGGATTTCCCAGATCCGTTGGGAGCCCTTGGACATACCCTTTTTTGCGTTGGAGCGTCCCAAATGATTGTCCTAACTTCAGATTTGTATGAGAGGTAGCAAGGAATAGTGGAAGGTGCCTTCTATAGCTATTAATTGACTTCTTTACTTTTTAGCCCTGATGCGGATTTTAAGACAATGACAAGTAAGTGGCCAGCCGTGTGGGTGAAGATAACCTCCAGCTGGGTTTGTCTCCTCCTCTACCTTTGGACCCTAGTGGCTCCTCTTGTCCTTACTAATAGGGACTTCAGTTAAATTGCTGCACCTGTCTGAGCTTACAAAAGTGGGGAACTCTTTGCTGAAAGCCAAAATGTTCATGTATTGCTTTGATTACACTGTCCATGTTACTGTTTCTTATATTAACATGCAGGTGGATAGAAAGTTATGTGTTGCGTAGTGCTTGATGGAGGAGTAAAGTTGTTATCAGTTACCTATCTATTTTAACCTTCAGTCATGGTTATCTTATTACTGCGTTTTTAAAATTCACTAGGGCTGTGCTGTCAAAGCACAAAAGAAAATATCTGTTCTGTCCAATGGCCACAACCTTTCTCTTGAATAGAAGTAGCATTTAGTTAAATATCAAATACTATATTTTAAAGAACAATTATATTCAGCATAATGCACTAGTATGCTGACGCTTCAGTTTCTGGAAGTGTAAGCCATGCTGCTTGCTCTCTACATTCCACTGCAAAAGTTTATTTAAATTATACCTACCTTCCTGTATTGTGGCAAAAACCCCTTTATTCCTCTCCAGAAGAACAGAACTTTGAGGTTGAAAAACTGGTTAACTTTAATTCTTTTCAAGAACAAACTTACCCTTTCTAAGAGGCAACTTCTATGGTAACTTCTTTTTTAGTATGTTTGCCAAATACTGAGTGGTAAGTGTATGACTAGCTTTAACAACTTTATGGTTATGGTGGAAAAATAGAGCTTCTGATTGATTTAACTTGTAACATGCTTACAAAAATAATAATTTCATGTATATTATTATTGGCACTAAGGCATTTGCACTGTAAACTCATTTGAATAAATCAGACTAACTACTGAAACTGTCCCAGCTCTGAGAAGTGTTAAGAAGCAGCAGTTATTCTCCAGTGCAAAATACTACATATACAGGGATTAAACTGCTAATTCACTGCTGCAGTGTCTAGCTGGATGTGACTGACTGGGTATTTTCTCCATGCAGCAAATGGCAAGTCATAATATATTTCTTTTGAAACAAACAGCATCTTCCATGTGATTCTCTGAATGTCGAATCCTGTTCGGTGAAGTTGCTCAGGTAGAGTTGTTCCAGTAAAGTTTAGTTCTGCAGTAGAAAGTGATGCTTTTTTCTAATGTAATGCTGTGGCAATTATACTTAGTTGCAACTGTGTGTTGAGTGTGGAACTAAGTATATGTCACTATTGACTTTTACAATAAAATACCCCAACATGACACAAGACAAACATATTTAAAAAGTCAAATTAGCTGCTGTTACAATGTGTTTAATCACCCAGTCATGCATCATAAAATTACACATTTTGACCACTCCATTTTATAAAATACAATATAAAAATAAATTTTGTCAAAATAAGATGTACACTTAACTACCCAACACCTCTAGGCCCACATACAACAGAAGGCAAAATTATTAGTTTGAATAATACTATGATTAACTCATGCCAAAATGAGATTTAACAAAAAAACCCAACACATCACCCAGTTCCTGAAAATAACTCGTGGGTTTTTAACACCCATTTGTAAGAGTATAAATTCAAGTACTTTTATATACAGTATGCAGCTACCTTTTGTCCCACTCAATGCCAAAAGCCATGCTGCCCAATGCAGTTCAGTATCGTTCCTTATTATGCGTTGGATTTGGCAGGGATGGCTTATGTACTGGGCAAGGCATGTAGCCTCTGGAAACAAAGTTGTTTCAAGTAGAAAAAATAACAGACCAGTTCTAGTGCTGTGAAAAAACCCCAAAACCAAAACAAACCTGTAACCTTTTCCTGTCCTCTTAACTTGCAGATAAGGAGATTCTATACTTAAAACAAGTGTTTATTTTCCAGGTGCTGACATGAGAAATTTTGAGAGCAAACTGATTTCTTTGCCAGTGCTGAAGCTCAAAGAGCATTCTCAGCTCAGTAGTCAGGCACACAGAAGACAGAGCTGTGCTTTTCTCTAAGACAAGCCAAGCACTGGTTACGAACCTAAAAATGGTTAGAGATACAGTTCAATAAAGTTGCAACTCTGTCTGCCTGAGTTCCAAAGCCAAGAAAGAGCAAATTAGAAGTAAGAGATGCTTGACAAAGGTAAGCCTGGCTTAGTTCAAGCATCCTGCCATCAACTGCCCAGCAGCCAGCTTTAAGAAAAAGAAGTTCTGGAGGCATAAGACAGGCTATTTTCAGCATTTGATAATGTAGCCTTCTCTATTTTCTTCAAATCATATGCTTTATTCTTAATTTCTCTGTAAGCAGAGGAGAAACAGGGAGGGAGATATGGATCTAGTCTGCCTACTATTTAAGGCATGCAAGAGAATATAAAGGCCTGAAAAAGGGTTTGGTTTCTGTAAAGGCTCCTCAGCCTTCTGCTGAACACTACTAGGTTATTTTTTTTTTTTTTTAAGGATGCTAAGTTGAATTTTGAATATTCAGCCTTCCTCTCCAGTAGTTACATAAGAGGATCTAAGTAGTTTTTCCTATAGGTTAACTGTCAAAATACTGCCGCTTCAAACTCTGCAGCACAAGTAAGGAAAGAGTGTCAAATACCAGTCATGCCTTCACCTCCAGGAAAAATGGTCCATCCTACTGTTTTGGTTTTTTTTGTTACTTGTACATTGTGGCTGGATTTACGAGGCACTAAAACAAGATAAACACCACTTGCTACATTCTGGCAGTTAAACAGCATGGGCAGCCACTTACCTTTCCAAGTCCTGGTGCTGCGTGCTACTGTCTTGCTAGGTGGCACAAAGAACTGAATTAATCTCTGCAAAACATGCAGCATGTTCTGGTCATAAATGAGGAGGAAGTACACTTTTACCTTATTTTAAGTAGGTGAAAGTGGTGGGGTTGTTTTCCCTGCACTAATAGCTGTCAAAGAGGAGTAAGAATTGACTTACAAAGGTAGGAAAAAATCAGATGCTTTCAATGAGGAAAATTCATTTCTTCCCACCTTTACTCTAAAACAGTTCAAGTCATGAGTTCCCTGGTCCCACAAATTCTGATCTGGCACTCAGAGAAAAGCTTCAAGCTTCATGGTTTACCTCTTTTCAAAACCCAGTTGTCTTTTATAATGCTCTGATGACAGGTATGGCATTTGCTACCCCCTGGTTCCAGAATGAGGTCTGCTGACAGATCAGGAAGTCATTACAGTGGAAGAGGAGTCTCTTTTTGGCAGTGCAATCATGCTGTAGGGGAACTGAGAGGAAGACAGACATTCAAAACAGAGTTTGGCACTTTGAAAAATGAATGTCTGAAATCCTCAAGACGCTTTAGTTATATATTTACAGAAACATAACTGGTAGCTATAATCTCTCTTGGCTATAATCACACTTGGCACTAAAGCTTTCATCCAGAGAAAGTGCTCTAGAGATAAGTCTCCAATTAGAAGGGACGTCCTTTTTCACCAAAGAGTGAAATATTTCTCCTTGAAGTAACTGGGTGTGCTTTCCTGGTGCTAGTGAGGTTTCCCATCTCCACAGTATTATAGTGCAGAAAAACATGTGCAAAGAGAGTGCTGAGAGTTAAGTTCTAATTCAAGACCATTAAAGAGATTGAACTTGGGGAGTGGGAACAGCTTATTTAGACACAGGTATCTTACCCTGATTTGGCATCGGAGTCCTAGTTCTGTCTCTAGACAAAGACCTAGAAACACAGGCATACCAGCTACAAGTAAATATTACAAAGATGCTTAAAGTCTTAACTTCATACAGGAACAAGACAACCAAAGACAAAAGAGGTCAAAGTTGAAAACAAAATTGTAACATTTCACAAAAGAGCTGACAAGCACAGTCAACAAAATGCTACAGTATCAGGAAATTTTAAGAATGTGCTTTCAAATAGCCTGCCTGCATTTGGTTTCACAGACTTAAAACTCAAATTCTGCCCAAAGTAACAAGCTAAAGCAGCACCTTGCTGTCTTATATGAAGTATTGCCTTCTAGACATCATACGCCAATTGCTACAATCCTCATTACAAATTCTATGTCTGAGTTCCTCAGACAAATTCTATGTCTGAGTTCCCAATTCCTCATCACAACCAGCTGAAGAACAACTGACAATGTGGGAAGGTGGCTGACATAACTACTTCTTATTTGGTCCTGAACCTCATTATTTGAAGCTGTTATCTGAGCAAAAGCCTTAGTACTTGATATGAAAGACTTCCTGCTTTCTGAAAATGAAGGTTGCATCTGTCTATAATAAGCCTTGGCATAGATGTTGTAGTAGTTAATCCACCAGTTACAGCTTTTCCTAGTGTGAGGAAGTTTCAGAGATGATCTCTATACTGGTATTCATGGATAAGAAAGTTTTGCTGTATATTAATTTGAGCCAAATATTCATTGAGATATTCCAGAAATGCCAACTCACAATCTGAACCAACTGCCAAGTTAGACTTTTATGTTTTTAAGCAACCTTCACTGACAGAACTACATTTCATAGGGTTCAAAAGCAATTTTCTTGTCTTGGATTATTGGTGTTTTCAGATATGGTGAAGGGAATGGTCACGAAGCTAGTAAATCATTGTTTGTCACTTTTTACCTGGACGGGGAGGGGATGAGAAACTATCAAGCTTACCATCCTGCAATATATTTTTTTATCATTAGAAAGAATAGGCCAGTTTGCATCATTCACCCAGAGGCTGATGAGCCTCCAGTATTCTGCAAGGCTTGTGCTCTTTGCTTTTATTCTCCCCAAACTCTGCCCTGCCCCCATTGTGCCCTCTTCAGCTTCCTTTGGTTCTACAGTGTAAAGTGCCTCAGCAGTCTGTTCCGAAACTAGAGGTTTAGGAGTAAGGCAGAGTTCCCAACATCACCTATCGGAACGGATCTTAACTGCACTGGCATTAACTGCACCCTTCACTGCTTTGTTAATAACAGTAATAGAGCTGAGGTTTCATGCCTCGGAGGGAATCATCACACTGCTTTTCATCAGCATCTCCACTCACTAGCATGTCATGGGGAGAGCTGTCACATGGGAGAACAAGCTCTGAGAAGTCATGCAGAAAGTCCTCTTCAGAGGCTAGCAGCAGCTCATTCCATGCAGAGATGTCCAGCTTCCCTGAAGTACCACCATACTCCTCAGGAAGGATCACTGGAGGAATGTTTTGGTGAAGGGAATTCAGATCGCAGCCATGAAGAAAAAACTGAAGAAGAAAGAAAAAATAGCTTTAATAGTGCATATCAAACGCTTTACAGCAAATTACTGAAGCAGGCAGCTAATAAGCTTATTTTGAGTTAAAGAGCAAATTTTAGAAGAGATGTCTTTTTGGGCAAGTGGCAGCGTGCGACATTGGGCAGGTGCAGTTAGACACACTAGTGAGAGAAGTCTTGAGACAATCCAAGTCTAGTGCAGCTTAAATCCCAGGAAGAGAGACTTGACGTTTGCTAGTCTGTGCTGAGGTTCCAAACTCAGCTCGTCCTCAAGTTCATTCATGGGATTGGAAGTACTTATCTTTGTGGAAGAATCATCACCCTTTGCAAGTACATTCAGTCCTACAGAGAGAATACTTGTGCCATGCAGGACATTGGCTAAGTGGGAAGAGCAAGGAAGGGGCCACACAGATTTCCTGTGACACCACCTCATAAACAAAGTGTTACTTGCCAAAATAATCCAACCCCAGGGATGAAATTAGTGTCCTGAATACATAGCATACGTACTAAAGATCCATATTAATGTTATGCCAATATTAAATTCCTCAAAGCTTCTCTCATGAAGACTTTTCCCAACAGGCATATTTTTAAAAAATAAAGCAGAAAAGGCCAGTCAGATCAAGTAAATGGATCCAGCATTTTTCTAGCTGTGATGGTTTTCAACAGTTTTTACTTGCAGGGGCCAAGCAAGGAACTTACAAATATCAGCATTAATGTTAAAATGACACAAATCCTTACCCGGTTTGCTATCTTTTCCTTCAGAAAAGGCTTGATGATTGCAAAAATGCCTTTGAATATACGAGGCTCATTTATTATATTAACAGCTTTTATTCGAATGGGGAATCCATCCTGAAGGATAAAGAAAGTTTTTATAATGCAGTTTAAAAAAAAATTGGTGTCTTCCTCTTTTTAAAATCTCCTGAGACTGCCTGCCAGCACAACCAGCTGGCTCCCAAACTTCCATCTGAGCTAACAACATAAAGCAATATAGCAACAGAAATGCACCTTGTAATAGGGAACAGTCTTAGGATGAGATCCCTGGGCATAAAAATAAAGTCAAGAGACAATAAAACTTTGCATCAAGAAATATATTGCTCTCAGTAAATCTTCATTTCTTATGTTGTCCTTCATCTCCCTTGACAAAGACACTTAGGTAATCACTGTCCTTTGAGTATCCTGACCCTGGTAAGGATGCAGTTACAAAGTGATGACCCTAGCTAGAGGAGTGCACCATGCTCAGAGCCAGAGCAGGCTGGTTCTAATGGTGTTTCCAAGGACAAGATTTGGTGCCTGGATAGTCTACAATGTGTTTTTATATAAGGAATAAATCTAATATCACAATTTTTCTGCCATTCCACCTATTCTGTCATGCTAACCGCAAAGGATAAACGGGCTCTGCTACCTACAGAACACACAGTGTCTCCTATACAAGACAGTTTAAATCAACAGTTATTTATGGGAGTTCTGATGCAGAAATTTATTTGGAGAAACATTCTTCCAAGGCAAAAGTTCATGATCAGCAATTAAAATCTCATGTGCCACAGTGAAGTTTCTTTCCCTTATAACCAGCTCTGTGTACACAAAGCAAACAGTCAATGCTTCAAGTGAAAAGAAGACAACATGCACTGCAGGAGTATTTCTCCCCTTATGAGGGTCAGTGATTAGCTCAGCTTTACAGGAGATGTAGCTCAGCAAGTTTGATGCAACACATTTATATCCCACTCATACCTTTACGTACTTCACCGAGTTCAGATTTTGCTTTGTGAATTGCTTCCACTAAGAGCAGCAGGACACCCATCACTTTATTTGTGCAAATTAAATATGGGCTCAGACAGTTAAATGACACATATTTAGACCAGAATTTAAAGGAGTTAGTTCTTATATAAGCTTTCATAAACTCACTAGTCCCATCTCCATAAACTCCCCTGATTGCCCCTATACTTCCTTATTCCTCCACACATAACCAGCTCAGGCCAAAATAAAAGTAATGAGGGAATGAACCCAGTCAAGAGAAGTTTTCCTCACCTCACTCCTCCAGATAGTGTGGTAGAATATCAAGTAACATCATCGGACCTTCCTGCCACTTTGGCCGCGTTACTCCTCACTTTTTTCACCTTCCTATTTTGTACAACTCCACTTGGTGGTGGAGTGAGTGACCTGCTCCATCTTGGCTGCCAGGAACCATTTAAACAAGCGATTCCTCAGCATTCAGGCAAAACAGTGTCTTCTCTCTAACTGCAATTCACTGCTCTCTCTTCCTTATCACTAGCTAGCAGAACTATTTTTTTCTGTTCCAACTCAAAAGTTTGCATTTCTAATAATTTATTTTTAGGAATACAAAAGTCAAAGAAAAGGTTAAGTAAGGTAAGTTGGCAAGGGTCTGAGAAACTGGTTGGGCAGAGACATGTTTTAACTCTGCTGGTAAAAGCCAAGATGCTTAAGTTTCTGGTGACATAGTCAAGAACTCGAGACACAGAAGCAGTCATTTACAATGTACAAGCTTATTTCCCACCAGTTCAGGTCTTACCTGAAGAATTCCAATCACTTTTTTGGCTACAAAAGGACCAAAATGAGACGCCTTAGATAAGCTGACTCCTTTGTAGTCTGCCAGGATTACAATTCCATTCACCTGGGTCTCTTCGGACTGAATGAGTTTTTCTAACGTTAAGTATATGGCACGAATGTTCTCAGTAATCGGATAATTACTGGGTGTCCATCTGTCTGAGGTTACAAGACATGGATGGTAAGTCGGAGAGTAAATATGAGCTAACAATACACATTCCAAAAACTGATTTTCTATTTTCCTGGACTCTTAAAAGTTAGTCTTTAATAGCCACAGTCCTAGTTCAGAGCAGCCTTTCTTAAGCAAAAGATAAATGGCAACTCGTGTTAATTCAAGGAGCAAAGGCAATGGTTTTAAGAACCCCGTTCTCCACCCAGCACAGCTTATTAGAAGCAGTTTCAGCTCAGAAAGAAAGCAGGTAAATGGAAAGGAGGAGAATGAATCACGAGAAATTTAAAGCAAGCCTGGCAGCACCAAAAGCACATGGAAGGCTCAGATTGTTTACATGGGAGTCAAAGCCATAGGCTCCTCTCTCCACTTACTGTCACAGCAAATTACAAGCTTCTAACCAAAGGCCAGCAGCCCTGTTTCAGTTTGAATTACTACATATTATTTTTTCTTGAATCACCTAATATTTAATTAAGCCACTTAACTGCATTTTCGTTTTTTACATAACTGCAGTTACTGCTGACACAGGAAAAGGAACTGGTATAACGCTGGCTAATGACAAACGTGTCCCTTCACGAGTTAACTTTTCCAGTTTCAAAGGGAACCCAGGTACTCTGCATAAGTAACCAGCGTTCACAGGAGAGCAGGAAACAGATTTTTGGCCCAGACACACCTTGAAGACAGAGAGCAAAGACATTTGTGCATTTCAATACCTGGACGGATGCAGACGATGTGGCGGCCCTCTGGGTCCAGACGAGGCAGCACAGTGACAAAACCAGACTCTAGGACAGGCTTTATTGCAGACGGCTTCAAATTATTGAAGACCTCAGGCCAGCTCCTCCTACAGGTGTGGTAGTTCACCAGAAGCTGAAGTGCTCGATCATAATCAAATTTCCTGGCTCTGAGGAACCTTAGCAAAAAAGCATCATCCAGGCAGGTCCCCAGGGAGGGATAGTCTTTGCACACCATATCTCGGAGCGCCTGCACATCACGGAGCCTCCATTCAGGTTTCTCTTGGAGCTCTTCCCGGGCTTTGGTAACAAGATCAGGAGACAGCGAGCAAACATACTTTGGCCGATCTGGCAAGAACTCATTGTCCGATGGAGACCCTGCTGATGGACTTGTCCTGGTGCAGTCACTGTCTCCAGACATAATGTAGCAGGAATCTGTCAAGATACAAGTGCTACACATGACAATCCATCCCACGCAGTAGCAAGCATATTTATTATTGACACATTCATATGTCCTGTACCCTCCATTTCCCTGCTGACAAGACTGGCCTTGCAAGAACTGGCACTACAGCCAGAAGTACAATTCAGACCTTTCCATGGTCTTCCTAGAATTAGGAAGTGCAGGTTTCCCTAATCTCTTTTTCCTGCATAGCAGGTAGAAAACCACCTTGGATGAAACCAAACCAAGTGAAAAAAAAATAAAATTAAAATATAGAATTGCACAGCTTCATTAGAAAATACAGAATTTAATTTGCCTTAACATTTATTTCTTATGTCCAATCGGAAACTGCGGCAAAGTAAACACATCCCAGTTAGGCAGGATTCTCCCATGCGGTCAAACAAAACCTCTTCTGAAAGACGACCCTGGCTGAGCCCAGCCAGGCAGGAGTTTTCATGAACTCTCTGGCAAATCCGTACATGGATCAGCATGTCTACGCACGCGAACACTTGGAGCAAATTCAGGAGGAGCAGCTTCGGGAATATAAGCAATGGCTGCACTTCACAGGTGGGATAAGCAGCTGAGAAAACGACAGGCTCTTCTGCCAGCACTTCATGGGCATTACAGTGGGCTGAATCTAGTTTCCAGTGTGCTGCCAATATTTCTGAACTGGGAGCTGAATTTCCAAACCCAGCTGCAAGTGGGTAGAGATGAGTGACAACTATAAAATCACGAGTCTGATGTACTTCCTGTAGCTCGACCTGGGACTGGAAGGGGAAAACATGCCTTTTTTCCCTGAGCTACTCCCGCTCAGTCCCTC